ACCTATTGCAATAAAACGGCAATTTCATACTTTAACCCCTAATATATTACATAATATCTGGAACCAACGAAACGAGTTTCGAGTCCCACAGGAAGAACTGCAGTCAAACAACACAATAAACCTTCAAATCATGAGCAAATTACTTTAGCAGTTATTATTTGAGTAATTAATAGATTCAGGCGTTACTTTGCGGAAGTCCATGTTAATAAAAATGGAAGCATATTAATTTGCTTTCTACACGTGTCGGATAACGTGTTTCGCCTCTTCACGAGGCATGCTCAGAGGCTGTTGATTTCTTGACTCTCGGCTGAAGAGAAGCAAAGTACGTGATAAACCGTAGAATGTAACACTTTGAAGACTTGATAATAAAAATAGAGCAGTGTCAGATTGGATAAGGTTATTAGGGGATTAGGGAAGAATAAAAACATTTGCTTCTTTTTCAACTCTAGAGTACGTGGAATGAAGATTACGGGCGTAAATACGGCGCCACAGGTACAGGTCTGCCGGCGTGGCAGGTGGCAAGATTCGGCAGACAGATGCTTGAGGGTCTACTGTTTCTGAAAGAGAAAGGGTTCCCACCGTTCAGGCATTTGCATTCTGGAAATGTTGTCGTTCAGAATGGAGTTGCGAGGTAAAAAGTGGTTTGTATACTAACTTTTAAAGCTTTTAGCCGGATAACTCAATGTTACCGATCTGACTTGGGCTACTCTAAGATTTTCGACGAAGGTTTCCTTTCGGGAAAGAGAAGTGGATACTTCAATATCTACCTGATTGAATCTGTCATAACAATATGACTTAATAACTCTTTTTTTACATCAGAACAAGGGAAAGGACGAACAAGTCGTGCGCCCACACCTGCCCATCAATTGTAATACCACTTGGAACTTTAAATCATAAAAATCTTGGGGGCACTGCCACTGCACCAGTCTCCTTGAGACATAAAGTTGACAAATCCCATTTGCCTGTAGTTACACCAGCCCCCTTACCCTTTAAAACATGCTTGGCGGCAAAAATAGGTATGGTTGAACTTTCCTGGATGAACTCTAAACGAGCTCTAGCGCTATTAAAACTAACTACTAGAAGATATATGGCGGATGAAGAACTTATACAAATTACTGCATTTTGTTATCAGAATATGTGGCCTAGAAACTACACTGATCGGTGCCTTACCGCGCTGCCCTATCGCTCTGGCGGCTTCTCTGGACAACGTGGAAGCTCTATCCCTGGGCCATGTACTGTACGAGATGTGCGCGGGCAGCGAGATCGACTTATCTTTATTACCGGATTTGTTGCCTAACTACCCTCACGTAATATTTGAAAATATTTGAAAGTTTTGAAATAGCTAATAATTATTTTTATGATATTTCTATGGTAATACCAGGGCTCCATCGCTCGCTCAAGGTTACACGATAAGTGCTTACCGCTGAGTGTACTGACGTCGGCGCAGGTGCTCATACAAGTCTTTCATATATGAGCATTCGGTTCCGCACGATTGCACACGGCGGGCAACGTTATTTTCACTTCTCTGAGCGCGTGCTTAAGTTCCTTTTTCCTCGTAGTGAACGCCTGGTGTCATTAGTCAGATTTAGTACTCTATTATAGCGTAGGTATTTTCGATTTTATATTAGAGTGATGTATTTAGTGATACATTTATTTCTTTCGTGAGTTTGGGTGTAATTTGTGGTTGTCTATGTGTGTGTCCATGGCACCCACGACACAGGGTTTCCCTATTGCGGTATTTTGTTACGTAGTAACTATTGAGTAATCTGTACTAATACTCATAAATCAGTCTGGTAGGTAATAGAACAACGCAGCAAAAAAGGACAATGCATAAATTTACGCTACATACTTTCAGGTAGTAGAAATAATTGAGTTAATCTTCGGACCTCGCACGCCAACGCTGCATGAGCTGCTGCTATGTGAACTCTTCAGGAAAATCGATCTTCGAGAGATGAAGGGCTCTTGTCTGCCGGTAAGGTGTACCATTTCATCATTCAAGAAAACCGACTAAAAAAAATATTTTATAATTTATGTTCTTTGCGCCAATAATTTGATGCTGATGATGATTTATTGTTAATAAACGATTTCAACGGTTTTTATTATATAGAACTTCAGTCAGCGACTTTCCCGGTCCTGTTTGTCTCTTCTCGGCGAGGTAGCCCGCCGGCAGCCCGGACCCGGCGGCTCCGGCACAGCCACACCATGCAGCCGCACCCCGCTCCGCCGTTCAGGACACGCGTCCCCGGTCACCCCGTCGACGCCTCCCGCTCGCAGGTACCTAATTCTTCTGTATCCTATACCCAGAGCTGGGGAAAATAGGTCAGTCTTAATTAAAACATAAACTACAAACAACTTTCTTGTATGTATTTAAAATACAATAGTCCAAAATAAGACTGAAAATAGATTCCTGAACGTAGCGAGGGTCAAGACACGAGACGCAAAACAATTTTGCCGCCGAGCGAAACACACAACTTTTCACCTCACTGTAGCGAGGAAAATGGTAGATGAAAGAAAAATGTGTTTCGCTCGGTAACAAAATTGTTTTGCGTTTCGTGTCTTGAAACCCTCGCTACGCTCAGGAATCTATTTTTGAACCACCATTCCCTCGTGCTTCAATTTTAGCTTCCTTCCCTAGCTCACAACAACAACTTTGCAGCCTTGCATAACAAATAACTATTTTTAGTGCCGTGGTACGACAAATCGCATAGTTGAACGTCTCATTATGTTTTTTTTTTCATCTGAAGAAAAAGTTAGGTGCACCACAGTCCATCGTCAAGTTTGGATCCCAAAAACCTTTTCCACGCTAGCGTGGAACAAACGCTTTTGCGCGCAGATTTCTATTGCGAAAGAAAGCCTTTCGGAGCTTGTGAGGTGAAAAATACTTTCATGACGTGTATTGAAAATATATCGAACAAAAATACCACATTTACCACTAACCGGAAACTTTTTTTTTTAGGGGCTTTGATCATTACTGAACACGTCAACCCCATTAGAAAAACAACACTTCAAGACAACACTTAATAAAATCCTTGAAATATCAATTACGAAATACGTGTTTAGGTAGTAATTAATACAAGAAAATACAAAATATGTAATTGTATTTCAAAAATACGTATTTTAATGACAAATAACTCAAATAGACCCCAGCCTATATAGGTTCCCCCATAAACACACCCGTTTTGAACCTGTTAAGAGTCTATACAACCTCAAAATGCTTTGGTTGAGTCCGCATAACGGTGAAAGTGTTGAACTAAACACTTTGGAAGAAATATATAGTAAAATTAAGGTTATACACTGATTTCTATACGGTATGAAAACACGAGTCCTAAAAATTTTCACCATATAAAAAAAAACACAAACTTACAAAAACCGCTTTATTCAATAGGTTCATCAGTTTTTCAAATGACTTTAATGCCGCTTGTAAAAAATATGTTCTGACATAATCGTTAGACGTAAACTCGAATCAGCACGTCTGTATATGACACCTACGACTACTTACATTATGGCTACTTATGAATAAAATTCGTGTAATTATAAGTGCACGTCTAACGCTTGTAATCAAACTGGGCCTAAATCTGCTGTTTACATAATTGTGGCGATATTTGAAAGGAAATGTTCATTAAAACAGGTACAACCTCTAATAGGTAGTATTACAATAATTAAATAACAGATTGCGGAGATTTTTCAACTGTAATTACCATGTGCACACGTATTAATGCTCGTGACTGTACAGAAGTGAGATAATCTTTTGAAGAATAATTTCCCAAAGGAAAACAGTTAATTTTATTAATTAAATTTTTATTGAATTGATATTCAATTATTTTTAGTGAAATTACTCCACTAGTTTGTTATAATTATTAATACAAAGATCGAACACTCAGAAAAAATTCCTTCGATCCGGTCGGATTCGAACCGACGTCTAAGTCTAAGTTAATTTTATCATAAACAATTCGAGCTCTCCATTGGTTAAATTCACGTTACAACATTGATGCCCTCTTTATCATAATTGACGTAATCAACATTTATAGCGAAATTGAGAACAAACATGTTTGGAATTAGCGCAACGAGATCTGCAACCCCCTGCAGGCGGTTTTTAATATCTTATTTAGTTTCCGTTTTATTGTTAAGCAAAATCAACGAAAATGAAATTTTTTTAGGTGACAATAAATAATAAAACTTTAGGTGCCAACATCTCGAAAATTAACGGAACACAAATGAGTTAGTTATGACAAGGAGGGCCATTGGGTCGGTATGTACAGTCAAGAGCACGTCAAGCTTGACACTTTGTAATTTGCAACCGGTCTTATCGTAAGAGGTATAGAGTTGGATTTAAATGTTAAGCGACAAGCTTAACGTGCTCTTGACCCTGTACTGAGTTTTTGTTAGCATTTTCGAGATAAACTAGTACTTAATAAAATCATCAATTTAACATATTTCAGTAATTTTTCAGAAAATAATATTTTGTTCTAGGAGGCACTTCCCTGCAGACCAAGATTTCACTGAAGAGTGGCAACATTGGTAAAATAGTAATAAAAAGGAAAGACTTCTTGATTATTGTTTTATTTTTAACTCGATAAATAAATAGCTTTTATGCATGCGCTGCATGTCTATAGCGCAAATTCTGCGTCTTACGCTAAATGCATGCGTTGTCAAAACTATCCATGCACAGCCGTCTTGCACGTGTTAAATGCCTAAATCTTTAATTGTGCTAATATGTTTCATCTTTTATATATTAAATGCATGCACTAAGTACATTCGACAAGTTCATATCGAACACCAAGATGTAATTACAATACTATGCTACTATGATACGAACGCTGCTCCACTCACGCGAGTACTAGACCGCTAACAGATTGGCTGCAAGTTTGCAGTTAATGCGTGAAGTCTGGCATGAAGTTGACAACGGCTTCATGCTGTAACTACATGCAGTCGATCTCGGCTACATGAAGTCGGTTTCGACTGCGCGCAGTTAATGAGTGAAGTCGTTATCCGGGAACTCGACTGCGTGAAGTTGTTAACTTAGTAAATTTTACCTTGTGTCGTTGGCATTGGGCCGTTTTTTTCGAAAATTCGGCTGGAAATGCAGTTACGGTCATCGTTAACTCAATTCTGGCCTATTATGGATGAAATGGATATCACTAACATCTTGTTTCAAGAAGACGGTGCCACAAGTCACACAGCCACCGAAACAATGAATTTTTTTGCAAAACAAATTTTCCGATCGCATAATTTCACGAAATACAGCCGTTACGTGGCCAACTCGATCATGTGATTTAACACCGCTGGATTATTTTTTATGGGGTTATGTTAAAGACAGAGTCTATACGGAGCCAATCGAATCGATTGCAGCATTAAAACTCAAAATTCGTGAAGCGATTAACGAAATAGACCCACCATTATGTCAAAAAGTTATTAAAAACTTTGATGAAAGAATCGACATCTGTACCTGTGGTCGTGGTGGACATATATCAGATATCATTTTTCATTCATAATTGCCAAACCGTACTTTTTTTAATACAGTAAAAAAATCTAATCATTGAAATACAAATTTATTATTTTATTTTGATTTACAAAACAAAGTTTTTGTTGAAAAACACTATTACTATTATATGACGTTCGGATTTCCACGCGAAAGTTTGGACCACAGACCACATAAATACTAGTCCGTCTTTGAATTGTATTAAAAATGGTTTGATTTTCCTTATCCATCTCTTTCCCACACATAACTCATTCTCATGCAAGAGCGAGACAACATCACCTAAAGGATAACGTCTAGCGCACGAAAGTAACGTTCTTCGTCGGCGAATGCAACGGGCGCGCGTGTAATCACGTCCACTAAAAATTGTTAGAAATTGAGAAATTATTAGAAAATTATTAGAATCGATACTGTACCTCTCCTGTCTACATTTCTTTTTTCTATTAATATATCGTTTTTACATTGAAAAATGGATTCGCTCTGGGCCTTTTGGAGGGAAAAGTGTCGTTTTTATTTTGACTTCCAATTATTTTGCGAAATCTAATTTTAAGTGGAATAGAATAGTGCTGTTGTGCCTTAATCGAAGATTAAAACGCGAAATTATACGAATCTCAAACTAAAATACCCGTATCGCCCGTTCTAAGGAATCCCGAGTCAATCCAAGCACGCCGCCCGCCCGCGCCGCCTCAAATTGCCTATCCTCTTTGTAGCGGCCATATTTACAGAAACATAATTAATCGAAGACATGGCTCAAAGGTCTTGTATCCGAGCCAAAATTATTAATAAAAAAAATAATAAAATACATTGAAAAAAAAAACTTAAATTATTTTTTACTAACTATAGTTAACAATACCGCGCTATTGTGAGAGTTGGCGTTGGGACCAAAACATTTAAGTAATCAAAATTGTTCACTTTTAAATACTTGTAAACAATGTACACATAGGTACCGCTGTAATTAAAAAAAACCGAGTTTTTAAGTACAGAGTTTCTACTTATGTATAATTTGATTACAGCACGCGAACCCAGTACCAAATGGAGTACGTCTCTAGTGTGCAAGCAATTCATTCGTTATTCGAATTGTGCTTTTGACGGCGGCAACTTGGCGGCAATGACTAGCAACCAATATATATTGTTATTACCGGATTACTGCAACATATTCGTGTTTCGAAATATTAATAATGTATTGTTCAAAATATTAGGAAATACAGAGTTTCACTACTTACCCATGAAATGAAATCACTCCCGGAATATTTTTTTTAAATTTTGCCTTCCTAAGCTAATATTTCAATTTTTTCACAAAACAATCTTCTTGTACATTTTTTTAAATATTAGTTTCACGGCATCGGAATAAATCCATCAAGCCAAATCTTGAACGACAACTGACGCGCTGTTGACATTTTATTTATTTATTTATAAAGCATTGGCTTCAGAGCCATCAGCTTAATGGTAACAAATAATCAAGAAACGCACAACGTAATATACATAGACTAAAAACTAATTCGTGTTAAAAATGTAACTCGCGCTCATTGACTTACAAACTCGCGCTGTTATTTTTTTCCATCCTATAAGGCGCTGTTGACACTAACGGGAGCGTCTTTTTTCCTTCCTTTATGGTCTGCTCGTAACTTAGATTATGGCATATTTTTACTAGGCGTAGGCTTTGTTGTACACAGGCAAAAGTTTTTTGGCGAGCAAAGGCCAAAGTGGTTTTTCATAGAAAACTAGAACCTCTTAAAGTGGAACTGGTAGCAATATGGCTGATTTACATTGAGACGTATGTATTACATTAGTATATTTTTATACTCGATGTTCCAAATACTATCCACCATATATCAAATTAAAAATAACAATTTTATAAGTATTTTTTATTTTGTTTTTGGTACTTTCCGGTTTACGTTTTAGCCAGTGCGAAACGGGGAATGTCACCTATACACGAAAAATAATGCAAGAAAGACATCAAAGAAGAAAGGGAATAGAAAAAATAATCATTAAAGCCAAGACAGAAGGGAAATGTTAATGAATAACGAATCAAAAGTTTTCAATATACCGTCCACAATAGGGCATTGATTTTTTGATTTATTGAACAATCTGCTTTTCTGCTCGACTCATGTCCTACCTCAACGGATTTCTTGTATTTTCACTATTTCCAATTAAAAGAACCACAAAGAACAATAAAACCAGAGAGAAAGTTTAAACGTTTAAACCTTAGAGAATTTCCATAGTCTAAGGTTTAAACCCAAAGTAAATCTATCCTGATTTATATGTGATTTATCAATTTTTATAATTATTATAATTTTTTTTAAATTGTACGGTGTTTAAGGTTGTTTTACTTTAAAGAATTTTTTAATCAATTGTATCGATGGGGCTTATAACACTTTGAAAAAGAAAAAGAAGAATTGTTTTACATTTATTTTTGACAAAGTTCTTTACTCTGAAATGGCTCAACATTACTTATTTATGAGATTAGTATTTATAACCACAGTTTCTATATTTCTAATAGTCAATTATTTGAAGTAACAAAGAAGGAGGAAAGGTTCAATTTGTTTAAAATAGTTTTTCTATGTGAGCAATGCTTGCAAATGGTGCTGTGTTGTGAAATTGAACAAAGTACAACAAGATATCAGATAATTCCAAAGTATATGAACTTTTTCTTTGCGGGAACGAGTGGGTAAGCACTATAAAACCGTTTGTTACAAGTGTTGGCGTGTAGGTCGGTCCGATTAGGTCGCTACCCTAATACTTAAAGCAACACCAAGTACCTAACTTCTACCTGTTACTAACCAAAGTAAGAGGCAAGAGTCTACAATCTGAAAAACATGTCTAATAGCACAATAGCAATAATAGACTAATGCAATTTGACCTATATGTTCTCGAGAACTCTGGCCACACAGAGGCTGTAGCAGAAGTTGTAGTTCCGGGCCCGGGAATTTTCGTAATGTTCGAGTTTTAATGCACCCTGCCACATTAAAACCTGGTGGCGGGGCGGCGCGGTTCGGGGCCGAAAGCTGACATATGGGCGCGGCAAGGAGCGAACGCGGTCCGTCCACGCAAAGTATATTCCACTGAGTTCTATGCAACCGTCCACACAGTGGAAACGGTGGGACACGATCACTTGCACGTTGTATATTTTTATTACTCTTTAATTGGACCGAACAGCTTCTCGCATTGATATCGTGTACCCGTCTTCTTGATCACTATCCGACAGCGATATAGGGCTTTGTTTAAAATATCTATAGAAAATGAAAAATGACTTCTTTTGGTGTCACACGGTATATAGGTGTCACAAGTGTACACGTGTACACGTTCCCGCTTTGCACCCCGCAAGGCCCGGCCGCTGTGGGCTGACTTTGAATTCCAAATAATTCGCAAGAATCCATCGTAAGTCCTCGTCACAAATCATACGTGAAAGTTTTCTAATTATTACAGAATGATTGCAATAAGCATTACTCATCCAGCTGACTTGTTAAAGACGCAAATGCAGCTGGTATTACGCAGTACCTCGCGGGGTATGAGTGGCGTCGTTGGAGGCATTTTAAAAGAAACCGGATTTCGGGGATTCTATAGAGGTTTATCAGCGGCGTTATTAAGACAGGGTATATATACTACGGGAAGACTGGGAATTTACAATTGGCTACAGGACTGGTATTATGAGTAAGTTCAAGTATAAGCGTAGTATTGAGTCAGGTTAAAATACGGATTACGCCTTCAAAAGGTGGGTTATAATTTCGAGCAAGGTTTGATGTAGTCGTTTTTAATAATGTTCCAGAACATTTGAAGAAAGACCACAGTATCGCACCATGATACTAATGGGAATGTGCGGTGGCGTAGTAGGTTCCTTCTTTGGCAATCCGGCTGAAGTGGCACTGATTCGTATGACCGCTGACGGCACACTCCCCCCAGAAAAGCGACGGAACTACAAAAACGTTTTCAACGCACTTGGCAGGTTAATACCAAAAACTGAATATCATATTAGAATGCTGGACAATATCACACGACTGTAACTATTCTGAACCTCCTTCATCGTTATCCCACCTTTTTATCATTATCTGTTGATTTCTGCCTATTTATTTAAAAAAAATTTAATCGATCTCGTATTCCCTTTTTTATTAATAGGTATTCTTACGTTTGTTCTATCCATAGTGACTACCATTTTTTGTGCAGTGTTTTATAATAATTGTACTTTTTTATATCATTTTATTTGTTACAATCTTTTCTTTTCCTCTTTCATCATCTTTTACTATAAGTCTTGTGGACCTTCTGCATTTCCATTTCGCTAAGACTGGGTTACAACACGCCACTATTGCTTGACGATTTTTATTAAAGAAATCGACATTAGGAACTTTGATAATCAGAGCAACAAAACCGGCATGATTTTAAACCTGTCTCCTTAAAATTCTTACTTCAAGTTCTCAGGTATTCGTGATTGTTGTGAATCTATACAAACCAACGTTTGAAAAACAATTAACCGAATTAACTATTCATTTTCATTCTCACTTCACGTTTTTAAATCTCAACGTGAAAAGGTTTTGCTTATGTGGAGGGTTTACATGAACCTCAGGTAACTGAGTTCGTCCATTTTCTTTTATAGGATGTGGAAAGAAGAAGGCTTACTATCAATGTGGAGAGGCTGTAGTGCGACCATCGTCCGCTCGGCAATTGTAAATGGAACCCAACTTTCCACGTATACCCAGGTAGCATCATAAAATATACATATATCCCACCTAAATCATAATCCATCCACTGCTGAGTCTTCGTAATGAAATTATTTCTTGGCTGTGCAGGTCCGAGAAATGCTGAAACCTGTTATAGGCGATGGTCCTCATCTATATGTTCTAGCAGCTCTGATGTCCCCCATTGCGACCACTCTTGTTGTTATGCCCGTTGATAATATTAAAACTAAGTAAGTAACTACACTCTGATAACAGCGACGCGCGACTTTGAATGTTTATAATATTAATCGTTCGAATGGGCAAATCAGTCGTCTAAGTCAAATCCAATTACGGATATCGAATGCCCTTGCCATTCGGTCGGGTGTACGAGTCGAATGATTATTAGGATGTCGGAACTCCATCATACCACGTCCATATCAAAATCGTTGTGCTTTCAGAATGATAATTCAGATCATTCGAAAATGTTTAACGGATTAGTATGTTACTAATTTGTCATTCGAATGACAGGATTAGTAATTACTAACGTGTCGAATACAGACATTATTCGTAATTGCGTATCGCTATCCTGATAACCTGTTACTTCCTGACATGTAGGTAATCTGCAGACCGCTATGGTATTCGTTCTGTAATATCTAAAGGAATTACGTCAATCAATCCTATTACTGAGTAGAAAATAGAAACTAGGAAATGAAACTATTTTTCCGGATTTAAATCGCGTATATTTGTTTTTTCAAACAAACCGACGTTTCGGGCCCTTTACAGGTCCCATGGTCACGGTTGACATCATAGAGAGCGATGAATGAAAGCAAACCCAAAAAATAGTTGTGCATTTTGATCGGAGGGTATGAATGGATGAAAATAATTAGCACGATAGAGAGATTGACCAATTTAGAAAATAGTACGATAGGCCGTCTCATACTTTGATCAATGGAAAAGTGGAAAGTAAGAATGGACGAAGAGAACCGCGTATAAGTTGATTATAACCAAATGGAAATAAGATTGTGAGCCACGATGTATGAAGAGGTTAAAGGAAAAAGCTTTACAGAAGACTGAATGGCGCTGACTACGCGGACAAGAACAGCCCTTAAACCTTTTTAAGGGATAGACGACTTTTTTCGTGATTTCAGAGGAGTTCATTTAAGTTAATATTCCTAACGTAAAGGTGTTACTTTTCACTAGTATATATAATAAATAATCTCTTGACTGTAATTGAACATGTACACACGCTCGTGTAGGCCCTTTGGGAACGCTTCAATTTGCCTCATTTAGCGTGTGCGGACTAGGTTTCTATGCGTCTTAAAATTCATTAAAAATCAAAAGAGATTTTGGTCGTGACGTTGGTTCGTTCCGTGGCTTAGTTGGTATAGCGTCTGGCACGGTATGCAAGAAGACGTCGGTTCGAATCCGACCGGATCGAAGGAATTTTTTCTGAGTGTTCGATCTTTGTATTATGATTACAATCAAAAGAGATTCAAAAGAAGGGATACTGAATTAAAATGTTATTACAATATTATTGCATAAGTGACTGAGTTATATGTTCGAGAATGGTTATAGAACTATTGGAAGATTTTCTGGGGTCCTCAATCCTCATTATATCAAAACCGCGGAGTTCGCCACTTTGCTGCCTAAATCTGTGCCATAAAATGCAAAGTTTGTCAACGGTTTATTCTACTTTTATTAGCCAGGATAGAGTCAGTTGTAAATTGTAAAGGAGATAAAAGACGAGAGAATAACATTACCTAACTCATTATTTTTTCCTCAGGGTTCAAAACGCAAAAGGTAAAGCGAATCCAATGAAAATGTTCACATCAGTAATAAAAAACGAAGGGATATTAGTTTTCTGGCACGGAATGATACCGATGTACTTAAAAATGGCGCCGAACAATATATTACTATTTTTATTCTTTGAACAGATGCAAAAAATGTATAGAAGAATCGTATTCCTCGATTAGGTTTTAAATAGGTTTCAATTACTGAATGGTGACATTTGGCCATAACCGCACCTCATAGCGCTTCGTGCGAATAGCGGTATATCAATGTCATCTTCTTCGTATCGTATCGATGTAGATGGCATTGATATACCGCTATAATTGTGCTATAATGCTTGCCGTCGTGGTGAAATGATTTGTCAGGCTCAGGCTCCTTTTGTGTGGTGCACGAGTCAATGTTATAAGGATGGAGCGTTCCGAACTTTCTAGATCATAGTTCCCCAAAGTGGTCCCTAGTGGGCGCTGAAGTGTTCTAGGTAGCAATTGGCGCGCGTTGATGCTGTCCAGGGGGTGCAACCGCATTTGAAAAAAAAAACCAGAAGTATCTATATAAACTACAACACATATATATTTTATTTTTCTTGTGATTTTTTGTGTAAAGTTAATATAAAAAATACGTGTTTTCAATTATTTTTGTAATGGTGGGTGTTGAAATTTTTTTATCTTGCCTAAGGGTGTATTTCCACCGGCGAGGCGAGGCGAGACAATTTTTAAAACTTATATGGCAAAATATCAATTGTCTCCTAGCGCATCTTCGGTGGAAATGGTCGGGATTGACGAGGATGGGCGAGACGAGATTTGAAATATTTGGTGATGTAACATTGAACCGTATTGCTGCCTACATAGACTCTTTATTCTTAAGTTCTTTTTATTTTTTATTTATTTTATCTTAGAGGGTACAAACAACTTATATTACAACATGATTATTTCTTCTTACACTATCTTCATCTGATTTTTCTACCGTTGACATATTTAATAATAAGAATTTGCGGGACATGGTACTTTAGCCGCGTGTTTATCGCTAGACGAATTGAACAACACTGTGTTTCCACTATCCATAACCCTAGCGCGAGACCGCGCATGCTCGCGATGGCAATTTTTGGTGGAAATATTTCAGCGAGATTTCAATTCTCGCCTCGCCTCGTGTCGTCTCGCCTCGCCTCGCCTCGCCGGTGGAAAAGCACTTTAAGGGTGTAGTTCCACCGGCGAGACGATTTTTAAAACTTATATGGCAAAATATAAATTTTCACCTAGCGCATCTTCGGTGGAAATGGTCGGGATTGACGAGGATAGGCGAGACGAGATTTGAAATATTTGGTGACGTAATATTGAACCGTATTGCTGCCTACATAGACTCTTTATTAACTCTGCAACGGAAACACGATTCATGATGTCACGTACAATGTCGCGCGCGCTCGCGCGTGCTCGCGGAGGCTATTAATGTCAATCGAGAGATTGTGGGATACAGTCGCGTGCTTTGAAATGTAAACGTACACACATTTTCGAAATTATGTAAATATTAGATATTTCAAAAACGTACCTTGTGCTGTTTTCAAAAATATGTAATCACGACACCATTTTAAAAAAGGTATACTTTTATTTCTGAGAAAACTAAGCAAACTACAGTCAATGAAAAATATATAGTCCGGGTGTCATACATGTACCTATCCATATCTTTTTCGTAAATATTTATACAAGGCATATTATATATTCATAATTTCATTAAAATGTACACGATCAGGATTGTGATTTTATCATAATTATGTAACCACTTTTAAAACATTGCATCGTTTTCAAAAATATATATAGGTACACAATATAGTTACAATTTAACGTAAACATACCAGCACCAGTTTAAACTTTTATGTGTATTTTGCTAGTTCGTAATATGTGCCCTGGGATAAAAGATTATGTATAAAAAAATTATTTTCGAAAAAGTTATTTTATTTTTATTTATTTTATCTTAGAAGGTACAAACAGCTTATATTGCAACATGATTATTTCTTCTTACAGTATCTTCATCTGATTCTCCTTCCGTTAACATGTTTAATAATAAGAATTTGCGGGACATGGTACTTTAGCCGCGTGTTTATGGCTTAACGAATTGAACAGCACTGTGTCTTCACTATCCATAACCCTGACGCGAGCTCGCGATGGCAATTTTTGGTGGAAATAGGTCGGCGAGATTTCAATTCTCGCCTCGTCTTGCCTCGTCTCGTCTCGTCTCGCCTCGCCGGTAGAAAAGCACTTTAAGTGGGCGGTGAGTAAAAAAGTTTGGGAACCTATGTTATAAATCATTTAAATGACTTCATACATTTGTAGTAGACTAGTTTAATATAAGGAGTTCACAGTATAAAGTGTTTCAAAATCTATAAAAAGGTTCTATTATCTTTACAACTTGGCATGCGGTTCGTCTCTTTTACATTACTAATTCTAGTAAATAAGTTTTTACACCAATGTCATTTGTTTAGCGAACGTGTAATTTAACATGAAATTGATAAATTAGCACACTAAATATTGGTTTCTAGATAAGCTGTCTACAAAATTTCATTGAGTCTAAGGACGTTTTCAATTTAAACTCTTGTAGAAGATTAGTAGTATCCACTACTAATTACATACACTACTACATACAATAAACATAAATTATCTATAAAATATCGTAACTATAGCGCCGCCGCTGTGCTTATAGGTCGCTGTTATGTAGATAGAACGAAAGCGCCATTTTGAAAATGGAAAAGGAATACGGAGTTGATTTTTTAAAATAAACTTGTAAAATCATGAAAAGTGGACTGTTTCGGAGAAAAAAAATTAGTTTTTTTTTTGTTTGGAGAACTTGGTACTTGGTACTTGGTGCAACGGGCTGGTATCCGCAACTCGACGACAAAGCGCCTATTTTGCGTGAGATTTTTATTATTATTATTATTATTGATTATTATTTTGTTTGTAGAAATAAACATTTTGTTATTTATCTCGGAATGTAGAAAAATGTAATGTGTGTCGTTTATTTACAGTATACGTTCAATCATTCTCTATCAAGAAAAAATAATCCATCTGCAGGTGCTTGCGGTTTTACGAGT